TTTCCTTCCTTGATGGCTTGCAGGTACTCCGGGCAGCTTCTCTTCCAATGTCCTATCTTGTGGCAGTGGTGGCACTCTGCCTCCTTCGGATTAGAGCAGGGCTTAGCGGGATCAACTTTGGTCCCACTAGAAGAGGCACCATCTCGGGCTTTCACCTTGCGATGGTTCTTTGAGAAGCCTTCCTCTTCTTTCCTTTTCCTTGTCCAATTGCCAAGACAGGAGCAGCGGGCGGATTGGGAGTTGGTGCAACAGACTTGTCCTTGAAGTTGCTCTCAGCGACCCTCAAGAGACCTTGGAGTTTGCTTAGGGTGACCTCTTCTTTGTTCATGTGATAGGTCATCCTAAATTGATTGTAGCTCGGAGGCAAAGAGTGAAGCACCATGTCGATCGCCAAGTCTTCCCCAAAGTCAACATTTAACTTGCGAAGGCGGTCGACATACATTTGCATCTTTTGCAAGTGCACGGTAAGAGATTCTCCATGACCCATCTTAGCGGAATCATGTTCGTGAAAATCTCATAACGCTCTTGTCTCGTGTTTTGATGGTATCACTCCAATAAGTCTTGATGCATTTCGTACGGATACATGTCCTCGTAGGACTTTTGGAATTCGGAGTTCATAGTCGCGATCATGATGCAATGCACTTTCGTTGCATCACGCTCGTGAGTTTCGAAAGCGGTGATTTCGGCGGGAGTAGCGATTTCGGGGTTGATTTTCTCGAGCTTCTCATCGAGGACATACTCCTTATCCTCATAGCGAGCAATCGTGCGAATGTATCTTATCCATTCGCTAAAGTTCGTTCCATCAAAGGTGACCTTTTGACAAAGGCTCATCAAAGTGAAAGAACTCGCAGCAGCATTGTTAGCGTTCGACATCTACAAATAGAAAGGACAAAGATAGATTAGAATATGAATCCCTAATATTCACCCAATAAGAAATTAGGGCTAGGATCCAACAACAATATTTACACATTAGAAAAGGGATGCCGTAATCTAATATGCAAACAATTTGAAGGTAAGTGAATGACGATTCACTAATTCTCCACCATGAAAAACATAACTTTAAGTCCTAAATGTATTGAGAATTCCTAGGTTCGGATGAGATTCATTGAAACTTTTCAATGGCATGTTTAAATCTCGATATGCCCCTCTTGTTTGTGATTGGGATACCGAGGATCACAAAGCGGGTGTGAATTACCATGCAAATTAACGTGGTGCCTTCATTGTAACGATCACCTATTCGATGTGTCGGTAAACCACACACGCTCCATCGAACTATGATAAACAATGAATCACCCTTTGCCACCTTCGCTTAGAACCAATTAGTGTGCCGGTAAACCACACACGCTCCACTAACTTCTTAGCAAGGTGCAAAGTGTAATTTCATGGGATTGCATCAATTCACTTTTCCTAAAGTAACTAAGATTGGGAAATTTTAAGAAAACATGTAGTTACTTTGTATTTCTTATTATACTTTTAATGAGAGGATGAGGTTGCCCTATCCTACCCGTTCGGCTAACGACCCTCCACCAATCAAGCGAGCGGTGGGTGTGAGTGTACACCCATTAAGCGCCATTTTATAGGCCGCAACCTTATACCCACCTTATAGACCGGCTTCGTGAATGAGGCCTACTAATGGTAAGACTAGCATTTAAGTTATATATATATATATATATATATATATATATATATATATATATATATATTAATCTTGTAATATTATATTAGTATAGGATTGTATTTTAAACTTGTAAAATTCTAGGGTTTGAAATTTAAATTGTCTAAATTAAACTTTTAATCACAAAACATAAATTTCAAAACTTGAGGACAAGTTTTATACATTTAAAACATAAAGGATCAAATAACAAATAATCAAAATCACATAATTATCTATATTTGATTAATAATTATCATATAAGGAAATCAAATATTTTATTAATTGACAATTATCTTCAATTAGATCAAAAATATAGTCATATATATCAAAAAATCGGATTAGGGTTGATCTAATATGATTAAGGTAAGTTTCCATAAGATAAATATGAACAAATCCCGTTTTTGGCTAATCCTGACGCTCGGACTCGCCGAGTACACAAAGGGACTCGCCGAGTCAGGCCTACTCGCCGAGTCCACTTTGGAACTCGCCGAGTCCATGACTTAGAAACATGAAAATCGAATTTTTTAGTTTAGTTTCATACAATCAAGCAACAATTCAATGAAAACCATGCTAGTCTCTGATACCACTGATGGGTTTTAGCCATAAGAACTTTCCTATGTGCGCATGCAAAGCCCTAATGCTTGGATCTAGGCTTTCTCATCAGACATGATTTGAATCCAAGACTTCTAATGACTATTTAGGTGTAATAACAATATTGAAATAGATCTAGAATCATACCTTTGAGTTCCTTGTTGATCTTGTTGTCTTGGAGCTTCTAGAGTCACAATTATCACTCCTCTAATGGCTTACAAACACCAACTAGCAAGGAGGATGATTTGAGAGAGAGAAGAGGGCAGGAATTCGGCCAGAGTCTCTCTACTTTAGATGGGGTACCGAATTCTCTATCCCATAGTGTCTATTTATACTTGTAGACTCCTTAAGGGTTACAGCTTAAACCCTAATTGGATAACTTAGACTTTAAGTGATCCTAATCCTTAGTTTGGATAACCCTTGGACGAATTTGAGGCTACCCCAAGCCCTAGAATTCATCCATCCTCTATCCAATAAGGATTTACAGTCTAAAGTGTAACTATCAAACAATTGACAGTTTATACCCTCTTATTTAATTAATCTCCTTAAGTCACCAAATTAATACTAATTAATCTATGACTTATATTAATCAAATAACTATATATTATTCTTTATATTATTCTCATAATATATTAATAATATTTACTCTCTCTTAATAAATCATCCTATCAAGTTGCTATGGTGAAGGCAACCCAAAAGGACCATGCACAATCGGGTCAAATACTTGCCTAATATAGTTACAACCTTAGACACTATTCCAACAGTTAGAAGAAGAAGTATTTCTCAAACAACCCCCAGGCTTTGAAGACAAAGAGCACCCTGACTATGTGTACAGACTAGATAAAGCTGTATATGGACTGAAGCAAGCTCCCAGGGCCTGGTATGAGATGCTGACATCATATCTCCTTGAAAATGGCTACAGAAGAGGAGAAATTGATAATACACTCTTCATCAAAAAAAAAGGCTCAGACATGATTCTTGTTCAAATCTATGTCGATGATATCATCTTTGGCTCTCCAAATGAGAAGCTGAGCAAGGAATTCACTGAGATCATGTCTTAAAGGTTCGAGATGAGCATGATGGGGAAGATGACCTTTTTCCTAGGTCTTGAGGTTCAGCAACAAAAATCAGGTATCTCAATTTGTCAAAGTAAATATATTGCTGACATGCTTGTTAAGTACTCTCTCAGCGACTGCAAACCGGCCTCTACTCTGGTGTCCAAGACTGATATGCTACACGCTGATCCCACTGACACTGATGTTAATCACTCTCTTTATTGAGGAATGATTGGATCTCTTCTCTACCTCATTGCAAGTCGTCCTGATATCATGTTTGGAACCATTCTCTGTGCTAGATTCCAAGCTAATCCCAAGGAGTCTCATCTCATTGCAGTTAAACACATTTTTCGATACTTAAAGGGCACTCAGAACTTGGCATTGTGGTACCCTCGTGACTCAGCACTTGAACTCTTTGGATACACTGATTCCGACTATGCAGGATGCAACTTAGACAAGAAGAGCACGTCAGGTGGATGTCATTTCCTTGGAAATCGACTAATCAGTTGGTCTAGCAAGAAGAAAACCTCAGTAGCTATCTCCACTGCAGAAGCTGAGTATGTTGCAGCTGGGAGATGTTGTGCTCAACTCTTATGGATTCAGAATAAGCTTTTAGACTATGGGCTTAAATTCACAAAGACTCCTATATACTGTGATAACACCAGTTCGATTCAGATCACACATAATCCTGTTCAACAATCAAAGACAAAGCATATCGAGATCAGACATCACTTCATCAGAGACAATGTTGAGAAGGGCAAGGTCATTCTAGAACATGTCAAGACTTCAGATCAACTAGCTGATATTTTCACCAAGGCCCTGGATACTCAAACTACTGCACACATTATTGGAGAACTTGGAATGATCACTCTGGATTAAAAAAATGTTTTACTAATGTTTGCTATTGTCTTATAAACTGATGTATTTTTTTGCTGATGATGATGTGCTGATGATGTTTACCATGCTGAGTACCTTGTATGATCTCTTATCTCTATCTCTTCTACAAATCTTCTAAACTAAAGTTGAATGATTCATTGTATTAAACCATACACTGATAACAACTTGAAACTCTTTGCCGATGGTCAGACAAAACACCAAGATCTATCACACGCAACTATCCCTTCTTACCAATCTCACACTAATTCTGTGATTCAGTGTGACAAAACACATGCTGATGAGAGTCTAACAGTCTTTGCTGATGGTTAGATCAAAACACCAAGGTCTATCACACGCAACAATCCTCTCTTCACCTTATTCTCACTCAGTGTCTAATGATTCAGTAAGAAGCACCACTCACTAATAAAGACTCAACACTCTGTGCTGATGGTTAGATAATTAAACCAGTATCTATCACACGCACCAACCACCTTGCTAACCTTAAACAAGCAAGTTGTACCTTGAATTGACGACATATTATCTTTCAGCATGTAACTTTTAGTGACACCGATCTCAGCGCTTATGCAGACACTGATTGTCGTTTCCTCTTTAGTACAACGGCTTATTTTTTCCCAACGGCTATTTTTTCGGATTTGACAGTTGGTTAAGATACACAGTTATTTTCGAAAAAGATAATCATTACCTTTTTAAAACTGTTTAATCCCATATTTAAACCTCATTCCCCACCTATCTCCCAAACTTTCCTCCCACAATTCAAATTTCCTTCTCTTTTCTTCAAAACCATAGAATCCAAACTCTCTTCAATGGCGGCATCACTTTTTACTTTCTCCTCCACCTTAAGAAGAGTCATCCCAGCTCCAAACTCTCCTCCTCTTCCCATATACATCAAAGCCACAAATGTCGTCTTCAACCCCGATATACCAGATGTTCATCGCGGTCTTGGACTTGATGATTTTGTCAATTTTCTAGTATCTTGCAGACTTCGATATGCTATCAGTGAGGTTCCATCAGAGTTCTTTTCCGAACAAGTATGTGAGTTCTACTACACCGCAACAGTCAATAATGAAAACAACATCATCTCCAGCACTATTGGGCGTGGCCGTCGCTCAGTTTTCATCAACGCTGATCTCCTCCGTACTGCACTCAGGTTACCAATTTTTGAACCATTCTCTGAGCTTCCAACAATTGAACACTATCGATGCCTCTTTGACCAACTAGGCTATGATCACTCCAAGGCTGGTGCTCAACCAGCTCTCATTCTACATCAATGTATGACACTTGGATGGAAGTTCTTCACCGGGGCACTTTGTAAGTGTATAGGCCACAAATCTCGCAGTGGTGATCAACTGAGTGCTTTTGAGCAACAAGTGGTATGTTCACTTCTCCACAACAAGCATGTTGATTATGGGGCTTTCTTCTTCGATCAGCTTGTCCAAATTCTTCGAGCCAATGTAAGAGCTGATCATGTTCGGTTTCCACACTGGATTGCTCTTGTCCTGGATAAATTTTATGCTGAAGCCTATTACTCACACGCTGGAAACTCCATCCAATGCCCACGCATGTCAGTACGAATGTATCAGGATGATCCACTGGCCAATGACATCGACATCTCTGATCGGATGTGAGAATGGATCGCGAATCCATATACCATTCCTTCACTAAACGCTGACACTGATGAAGGAGCTACTGATAACGATGAAACTAATGCTGAAATACAAGCTGATCCTAGTCAAGAAGGTGGTTATATCTCCCCTCAACTTTCTCATCATACCATTTCTGCCACTGAAAGGGTTCATTCAGCTCATGGGGAGTCATCATCTCAGGGGGAGCAACCATCTCAGGGGGAGCAACCTTCTCAGGGGGAGCAGCATCGATCACAAGAAATTCTAGGTACTCAGCTCATTCAAATTCCAGCCTCAGCGTTTAATGAGCTTCTTACACTGACTCGAGATATGAGTCAGCGTCTTCTACGTATTGAGGCTGATGTCAACCAACTGAAGGAAGTTATTCTGTCAACTCCTTCCCCTGGCCCAAATGATGATGATGATCAAAAAGGGGGAGAAACTGATTCTGTTGATAGAACCTGTGAGCATGGATCTGGGGGGAACATTGTAAACCAGACCGATCCACCACAGCCTGAGCACGAGTCTGAGAGACTAGCAGAAACTGAAAAGCCTACTGAAGAATGTGAACATGATGATGAAGATGAACATGATGATGAGTGTCAGATGCTCGACATGAACTTCATAGATCCCACTATGCCAGTTCAAGGTGAAGACTCAGATGTAGTTAGTGAGGATCTTGTTCCTTTATCTCGAAAGCGAAAGGCAGCAGATACTGAATCATCTGATTCACATGCTGACACTTCTCCTAGCAAGAAACATAAGTCCATTGTCAGCATATCAAATCTAGCAGCTGAATGGAATATGACCCCTGATCAAGTTAAGCAAATCCTTGATGAAGCCAATAAAGCTCAGCTTCTAAAGAATGTTGCTCAAGCTGATGAATCCCTCATTCAGCAAAAACTTCAGGCAATGGGATCCTTTGAAGCTCAAATGCAAAGGTTTCCAGAATATCAATCCAAAACTAAATCTTCACAGCCTCCTTCCAGTAGCAGTAAGTCAAGGACTGATAGTGTTCTTGACAGGATCGATCGCAAAAGGTTTCAAGATGTTTTCAAACGAAGAGTAAGCAATTACAAGATCATCAAAGTTAAAACCTCAAAACCTCATGACGAGAAAATGCTTACTTTGTTGATCACTCGTCAAGGTCCTCAACATCCGTACACTAAAGTTATAAAGAGAGATGAGATGATTAGATACGGATACTCTGAATGGGTGGAATTGCTCGAGTTGGCATCCAAGCAAACTTCAGCTCTTTCTTCAGAACTGACTTGTGCTCTTCAGTTACTGATCAAGAAAGTTCAGCGTCTTGATCTTGTTCCTACAGAGCATCCTCAGCAGCAAGGCCCAAGTTCCTCAGTTCCAAGAATCAGAAGAACTAGATTTCAAGTTGATGGTGAAGATGTATTGGTTTTAAATTTTGGTGCTGAAGAAATAAACAACTATCTTCCTATTGGTGTTGAGCCGGTTCAACATCAATTCATCTCTATTCCTGAACATGGAATGTTTTATCTTGATAAGAATAGGAAAATATGTTTTCAGCGTACTGCAGAGATTCCAAGGGCTCCAACAGAACATCTTGTTGGTTTAAGACAAATGTGCATGAGTCATCGAGATCTCTCTGGAGAGTTTCATATACTGATTGCTATGGAGTTACTGAATAGAAGACAAGAGCTGCTAGATAGTCCTTACTGGCCAGTGAAAGTAGAAGCTGAAGCTGAGTATGAAGAATTTTTGTCTAGGGGTGTTCAAGTCTAGCTGGTTTTGAACATCATCATATTGGGGGAGATTGTAAGGTCGAACCTTATACTATGATGATGTTTGAAACTGATCACTTAGCGTCAGCGTATTAATTGTTCAGTGTATAGTTTCATATTCAGCATTTTGTAACAGATTTTGTACTTATCTAGTTTCCATAGTTTTCGTATATTAGTTAGTTGGTATATCCATGATTTGTAGGGATTGCCTAGATTAGTTCTATATAGTCTTTTGTAGAAGTTTGTAAAAGGTGAATCTTTCACAAACCCTAATAGCCTCTTTGTGCATTCGATAATCTCTTTGTGAGATTATCATTCTTAGTGAAAGTTTATCTTTGTGAATCCTCGTTGTTCTTGTTTATAGTCATTGTTTGATAATTTGTTTGATCTTAGGAACTTTCAAATGAGTTCCCCCGAAATACCACCACACAAATAGATAACACATACAAACAAACATCATGAATACAGAGCCTTCAGCTTGACTGGACTGCCTCATAGGCCTACAGACTATCCAGATAGCTCACAAAACATTCAGCACGACCAGACCGCCTCACCAGGCCTTCAGCCTATCTGGACCGTTCTTTGGGCCTTCAGACTGACTGGTCCTCCTCAAACCAACCACACATAACATGTCGACATATACATAACATATAAACATATATAATCCCAGTAAACCATAACAATATATCGATATAACATTATTGGGTTTTTTTCACTAGTAGCACGATGCAGTACAGTCTCAACCCAACCACACTACGTCGACATATATAACATGTAAACATATCCCCAGTCAATAGACAATCGGGCAGATTTATCAATCACTAAGCATAGCATCATCTTATATACCAGGATATAGATCTAACAAATCACTACAAAATACCAACATATGATAAACTAGGATAATAATCCAATGGGCCAGCCTTGGACCCGAAAGCACAATGAGGAAAAATCACCTCAACCTTAGATAACCAAGCACTCGAACTGCTGCTACCGGAAAACCTCGCACTAGGATCATCAAATAATATTTTATCAATAATTGATTCCTAACCAAACACGAGTTCTAGTCTAATGACCAAGCCTTCAGGGTAAAAGTCCATTTTACCCCTTTCCTTACTTTACCAAACTCTAAAGACCAATCCAATATCATCATAACCCCAAATCCCTTAAATGACACTACAAGGCCCAAATATCCAAATTCGGCCAAAAACGCATAATTGGCCCAACTGAGAGGGCCTAATATCCTAAAAGGCCCATAATATCTAATGGTTAACCCTGGTTAACTTCTGGTCAATGGTCCAAGGTAAAAAAGTCAATGCATCAAGAAAATCGAACAGACTGAGTACGCCCCATGTACTCACCCTGCCCACATTCCACTTAGAAAAGGTTTTAATTTCTTAAGCCAAAACATCAAATGCTCAGATCTAGATCCATATCATGCCTTAATCCATAAAGTTGTTAACTTTGAGGTTTTGCATGGCTCAATGGGTCCCAAATCCAAGGTTTTATTTGACAACTTCAACAAAGAGGCTAATACACATGCATGGGTTGATATCAACTATCATGATCACATTTTTATGCATTTGGGACACCTAAAACGTCCACATCTAGTGTCCAAACTCCTGGGACAAGATCAACCTCATAAAGACAAACCAAAAGGATCAAAATTTTCCATAAACCACACCAAATAAGATCTAACCAAAGAGATGCCAAAATGAGAGATTTTTACCTTCAATAGATTGAAAAAGATGAGAAACTTATGTATGTACAAGCCCCACTACAAGTTATGATCCCTCAACAACCTTCCATTTGTTCAAAATGCACAAAACACTCCAATATTCCTCACAAAAGCTTAATAACTCCAAGATGGTGGCTAAGGGTCGAATATTAGGGTTTTGGAGGCTTAGAGGCTGATAAGGGACAAGGCTCAAGAACAAATGAGGCTTAAATAGGCTCAAGACCAAAAAAACAAGGGTTTTCATCGGAAGGGAGTATGCCTTGCGTACCCCTTAGTACGCTCGACGTACTCAACAGGCCTTCTCGATCCATCCAACCACTACGCCCTGCATACACAGCGAGTACGCCCCGCGTACTCGATGAAGCTCCAAAACCCTTTAAATTTCATTTGGACATAACTCCTTCGTCTTAAGTCTGTTTCTAACAAACTTTATATCCACAGAAAGGTGACGAAAGGCCCGAACTACAAAATTATGATTATACCCATGGGTTCTGAAACACGCCCGAACTCTTGGATCATCCAATCTATAATAACCAAATCCAAAAAGACTAATTCTTTTCTTCCCTACGGCCCTAAGCCTTATGCTAATCGATCTTCGGGTCATAGCCTCGAACTAGGAATCGATTCAAAATAGGGCGTTATAGCTACCAATCATTGTCACGTACTTTCTTGAGAATTTTTTACTTTGTCTACTCCTTTCATCCATTCTATTATCATTTTCCTTTTAGGCCTACCATCATAAACCATTACTTGCTTTGGATCTGTTGGATTAATGTCTAAATCCATAACTATATTTGGTATGTACTTGACCCGACCCGGCATGGTCCATTTGGGTTGGACTTTACCGACACAATTTATATGGATAGTCTTTTGAGAATACTAAATTTACGATTTATATTAATGTATTATAAGTTCTAATATATTAATATATAATCATATTATTTAATTAGTATTGATCAAGAATTAATTTATAATTAATTCAGTGATCAAAATGAACTAATTAAATATGGACTCTTTTATATATATATATATATATATATATATATATATATATATATATATATATATATATATATATATATATATATATATATGGAATGGTCCAAGTTTATTTTGGTTGGGCTAAGCTTTCATGGATAGTCCATGGAGTGTTTAACCCATGGATCATATGAAAAGAAAGGTCATGGGTTTAACACTAGTCTCCATACTATATAAAGATGTCATTGGTTGGTGAAATTGGCACTAGTGTGGGTACACTAAGAAGGACTAGTCGATTTCTCTAGAGAGAGCCAAGTATCCATATTCTTTAAAGTCTTTCAAGGTGTTTTGGTGATTTGTGATTCCACTTGAGGCTTCCACACTATTGGGGCTAAGCTCTTAAAGCTTGAAGACATCAAGCTACATCAAAAGGGATGTCATCTAACTAGTACTTTGTACTATAAGAGCTTCATAATATACTAGTTAGGATTTAAGCCTTGGAAGGTTCTTATTTGCATGTATAATAGAGAAAACATAGATCCAAGGTTTATAGGGTTGCATGTACACCATAAGAGTGTTAGAATGCTCAAAACTCATCAGTGGTATCAGAGCCTAGGCTTGCTTTCTCTTATACTTGATGCAAATAGATTTTTCGAAGCCAAGAAACTGCCAGAGCCTAAAACTCGACGAGTTCTGATAGAAAACTCGACGAGTTCATGTATTAGAGCATGAACTCGACGAGTTTGGTCTCCAAACAGCATAATTTCGTGGTTTTTGGCTGGAATTGGACTAGGAACATTACCCTAAGATGTTTTTGGACTTATAAACTTGTTTTTGATGTGGTAATGTTCACGCTAATCCAATTTCAAAGATAATTGTCAATAGTTATTAATGTTTTGTATCAGTTTAAGTGTTATGCTAATTACATGAAAACGTTTGATTCCAATTATCTTGTTCTTATGAGTTGCTTAGATTAATAGAAAAGTTAATTGATCATGTGTTTTTCAATCCATTTTAATCTAAGAGATGATTCTAAAATGTGTTTGTGTAACCTGTCCTCAAGTTACATGAAAGGTCACATTTAAGTTTCATAAAACTCATAAAAGTTGGCAATGGTTACACAAATGAAGAGTCTTGTCCTCAAGTTATGGAGGTTCAAGAGTCACTTCATTAAGTAATAAAATGTAACCTTAATTAATTTCATAAGTTACAAAATAAAGAAAAGTTACATTCTTTTATTAGTTTAAAGTCTTCCATAATTTGTCCTCAAGTTATGGAACTTGAAGAGTTTTTAATTAAAACTACTTTAAACACATAAGTTATAGAATTGATTAGTTTTGAATAGTTTCAAAACTTTCCCTCAAGTTTTGGAATTTGAAAAGTTTTCACTTATGAATACTTTAATTCCAAGTTAGCCCTTAGAATTTTAAAAATTAAAATTCAACCCTTATACTTTATAATAATATAAGTTAATAATATTTATATTTATGTATAAGAGTAAAGTCAGTCTTACCGTTAGTAGGCCTCATTCATGAAGCCGGTCTATAAGGGGGGTATAAGGTTACTGCCTATAAAATGGCAGTTTAATGGGTGTCCACTCTCACCCACCGCTTCCTTGACTGGTGGAGGGTCGTTAGCCGAACGGGTAGGACAAGGACTATAATTCTCCCTTCATTAAAAGTATTAATGATAAATACTAATTAACAAACCTTTTATAAATACCCAATCTTAGTTACTTAGGAAAAATGTGAATAAGGTGCTAATCCATGAAATTACACTTTGCACTTTGTTTAAGTCAGTTAGTGGAGCGTGTGTGGTTAACCGGCACACTAACTCGTATTTAACAAGGTAGGCAAAGGGTAACTTAATGTTTATCATAGTATCGATGGAGCGTGTGTGGTTAATCGGCACATCGATTGAGGGGTAAACACTTAAGGGTACCAAGTAATTTGCATGGTTACTTCACACCCTGTTTTGTGATCCTCGTCATCCCAGTCACAAAACCTGAAGGGCACACTCGAGATTGAAACATGCCATTGAAAGTTCAATGAGTCTCAAAGATCTAGGAGTTTCAAATCCAATTAAAACCTAATAAATTAGTTCGTTTTTCATGGTGGAAATTGATGAATCGTCATTCACCTACCTTCAAATATACTATAGCTTGGATTACGACATCCCTCTTCCAAGTTATTAAATAGTTTGTTGGGTCCTAGCCTTAATATTTCATATTGGGTGTTATATTAAGGACTTTAGATCAACTATCTTGAATATTCCCAAAAGATGTCTAGTTCAGACATCTATGATCTTCCCAAATATCTTGGAACTTCACTTCCTCCAACTCCTCCAATTATTCTCCCTAACCCACAAGTTCAAGGTCACTCAAGCCCTATTGGCAAGGCAAGGTCTAGGTGTGATCACATCTTGGAGATGAAGTCACATACTCATGAGCTGGGAGAGTTGGGTGTCAAAGTCTTGAGAAAGTTAGTGGTTCAATCACTTTCTAAGTCACATAGTGAGTTCTTTTGGGACTCCTATGAAATAGACTATGACAAGACCCTTAATGATCTTATCTATTTTCTTGGTGCTGCTAAATCAGAAATGATTTAGTGTACTAGTATAGCAAATTTGGTTAGGAGATAAACTTCCCAAAACTTTATGGACAGGGACAATAGTGACACATGAAATCCAGAAATGCATTCTCTTCCCAATGGAAAGGGATTGGCCATAGTCAACTTGGTTGACCAAATGGTAAAAAGAAAGGCTAATTCTGAGATAGTCCCATGTACTATTACCTAAGGGTCCATATGTTTCTACTGCCAAAGGAAGGGTCTTTGGTTACGAAGTTGCCAAACTTACCTAAGGATGGTAAAGTCAATAAGTTTGACTTTATTCCAGGTAAAGTCCATTGTCTAACTCTATTAAGTTCCTACTTGGAGATTCTTATTACATGATGTGGCTGGGTCATATGTTGATGTTTTAAGAATCAAAGAAAAGTAAAGAAACTTAAAGGAAGTATATGTTGATTCTGATCGCGAAGATGGATTTCAATCGCATGGTTCTGTGATTAGAATTTTGAGCAGGTGCTTAAGAGTTATGATAGATTTCTTAGGAATAGATGACAATAAATTTTCATATACATTTGCATTGTAAGGATTAGTTTTTCTGCAAAGTTTTAAAATAAAAGAAAAGTTTTTAATTTTATTTATTTTAAAATATCCTTACAATGGCATTTGAAAAAAAAAAGATGTTGCTTATATGATTCCATTGATAGCAATATTGGAAATATGAATTTGATTCTTTCATTTGTGGTAGTGTCTAAATTTACCAAATAAGGAAAGATTCTCATCACCCAAGTTTCATATGGATAGAAACTTGGAATCATGCAAGTTTTATAGTATGATGAATGAGAACTTTCGAGCATTGGAAAATTAAGACTAACTGCTTGTTCACATGGATGTGTGAGTCAAGAGAAGGACTAAGGGATCAAGTACACTTTCTTGTGCACTTGTCAAAGTCCACCACAAAAGATGGATAAGACTATTCGTCATGATTTACTAAGGTTTAGTAAATATGATTATACTTAAAAGCTTAAGTATAATTCTGAAGGATTGGAAAATTTTCAGTGTATGACAGAACGAATAAGAAGAAACAAATTAGGCAGAAGGATAAAAGTTTCTCAAATCTGAAAAGTTGGGAGAGTACTTTAGTATCATGTTTTAAGATCATCTTAATGATTTTGAGACCTTATCACAATTCATCCTAAGTACATTCTGATAGTTAAGAAGAGGAGTTATGAATTTTTGAAGTGGTAAAATCAAGAAGATGATTCATACTTCATTCCAAAAAAATTCATAGAGTTATACTCTTAGATTGTAACTTGAGTGACATGTCTTAAACAAGGTTTAAAACACTTGTCAAATGTAAGAGTAAAAGTGTCCTACTCTTGTACATTTGAAATTGGTAAGTTGTGATGTTTTGAATAAAACAAAGACCAACTTAGGCCAATTGTGTGAAGTGTTTGTCTTGATAAAGAATCCGCACTATCTCTTGAATATTTGGCAAGATAGTCTTATATGTCAAGGAGAAAGTGGGAGTCTAAAAGATCCTGAAAGGGTCTCAAGAAGTAATCAAGAATAAAACCAATATTTCATCACTAGCACACAACTAGAGGTTTATAACCTATCGTGTTGACATTTTTGTGCCCATTCCACTTAAGTTGGCTATACATTTGAGTTCTACATGTTCTCAATTATTTGCATAGCTACTTGGAAGCAATGGCAGATCCTTGAGCTGCCAGGTGGCAAGAAGTTAAGATTGCACAAGTTCAATCCATATGAGTTAGGAGTTGTCAATAACCTAGTCTTGTGAGTTTGGTTTTGACAAATTCACATGGATAGAAACACTTACACCATAAAATCTAAGTGTCATAAGGTTTCTCTTCGATTCATGAAAATGATGGTAAGGAAACTCTTTCACTAAGTAGATTTTAAGTAGATAGCAATTGTGATATTTTCAGTTCTCAAAGTCGTTAATGGAGCGTGCGTGGTTAACTGACACACTAACATTGACTTATGAGAAATGGAAAAAGGTATAAACAATTGAGACTATGATTACGGCGTCCCTTTTCATAGTTCTGGAATTGCTTAGACACACCTGGAGCTATCTAAGAGAGGTGTATGATTCTGATAAAGTCTTATCAAGGCAATCTAGTATCAGAAATCTGAACTTTGGTAAGAAAGTCAATAAAGTATTGTTTTTCCTAGAAGTCCAACTGATTTCTGAGTACATGTCAAAGCTAGTGGGAGCATAAGTATTATGCTAATAATCATCACATTAGTGGGAGCATGATAATTATGATAAAGGTTGCAAGTTAGCAATGTTAATTATAGAAAACAAAAGGTCTCAATTGTGAAAAAGTTGTTTTGCTATAATTAAGGGAGAGGAAATTATACTTCATCTAAAATCTAAAAGCTTAGATTGAGATCTTAATCGTATTTAGTCAATAATATATATGAATTTCATTTTGGAATGGCTCAACATAAGGAAATTCTATATATGGGTTCATTATTTGCATTCTAAAATTCGATTATGATTACGACCTCCCTTTTCATAATCTGAATTATGAGAACTTGGCAAATAGAAATGGAAATATTATAGCAAAAGACTGGTTTAGTCTTTATGTGAAAAATCATGAATCGTGTCCCATATGCTTCGGATATAGGATCGATTACATGTGCTATATTCATTCTTTCTAAGTTTTTCCAAATGCCTGGGGCATTAAGAAGGGAAAAAGGTATAGAAATTGATATGAATAAAATGATTAAGCAATTGTCGAGGACAATCTAAGGTTTACCAAATATTGGTTGCTCAAGGACAGTTGGAAGTATAGTGTTAATTATTGGAAGGACCATATTGACATATTCTGAAAAGAGGCAACTCTTGTTCAGAAGTGATAGTCAAAAGGGAAATATGGAAATGATCCCATAGGTGGAAGTTGTTCAATAAATCTGTGTAAGATTAAAAAACTTAATGCAAGAAGGATGTTTCCAAGGATTTGATCTCCTTTGGAATACTCTTTAATGATTGTTGCCAAGTGAATTTATGCATAATCATTACAAGAGGATCAATGCATATAAGTTTAGAATCTAACAGATTTTAGTAAATGGCATGAATTTGGAATTCTTGCATTTGCAGTAAGGGTTTGGGACTGTGAAAAGATGATCATTGGAGTTATGTTCAATCGATCGAGTTCACAAAGTAAGGATCATAGACAAACATAGAGTGCATACTTGGTGTATGGCAAAACTATTGTTTAAGAAAAACATAGTGTACATGCTTGGAGCATGGGACAACTAGTGTTTTTAATTCAAGTATAAAGTTGATAAAACCGAAACAATGAATAATGAGTAATCAGTATGGTGATAAATAAACGTGTTTATTTATATTCATAGGGTTTGATACCATATTTTATTCATTTATTCTTGTGTTTCACTTTGCATGTTTTGACTTCCAGAATAAACTAAGTTATTCTTCCGGAATGACTAAGTTATTCAAACCATCCACAGTCGGTCATATGTTGGAAGTAGATATGAATCAAGACTGTCATGGGTTGGCTTGTAGAGGTCCAATTTGTTGGACAAAGGGCTACAAAACTCATGAGTTCTCATGAGTTCTGAGTATTGGATTCAACCCACACTCATTGGAATCACTTCATGGATTTTATCACGAGTGATCATGGGATGATAATATCTTATATTCTTCAAAGCTAGAGATATGAGATGTTACTATGAGTTGATTGTACATTGATTGCACGAAAACGCATTCGGTAACTCGGTGTTATAAAACGTGCCTTTGTGTATGATTCAACAAGTAGTAGAACAAGCCATATGAGTCGAAGTTTATCCATTCCTTTTACCTTCGGGATAAAAGCGGTATCTGTGGGCCCCTTGATGATTTATGATGACACATGTGAGTGCTTGGCCAAGCCAGGACTGATTTGATCTGTTTAATCAGTCAGTTGTCATGAATCGGAAATCGAGAAACAACAAATGGACAGAGAGAATGATTATAATCCATGTCTCAGTCCATATGATATCTAGAATGGAGAAATATATGATCCCTTATATAATGGACAATTTTGTTGAAAAAGATCAGAGTTCGATAGCGGCTTTAAGAGCTACGATTGCCAGCTAGGTTTTGAAGTCATACTCAATAATAGTTTTAGACCTATCCAAGTGGGAGACTGTTGGATTAATGTCTAAGTCCATAACTATATTTGGTATGTACTTGACTCGACCCGACATGGGCCATTTGGGTTGCACTTCACCGGCACAATTTATATGGATAGTCTTTTGAGAATAGTATATTTACGATTTATATTAATATATTATAAGTTCTAATATATTAATATATAATCATATTATTTAATTAGTATTGATCAAGAATTAATTTATAATTAATTAAGTGATCAAAATGAACTAATTAAATATGGACTCTTATATATATATATATATATATATATATATATATATATATATATGGAATGGGCCAAGTTCATTTAGGTTGGGCTAAGCTTTCATGGATAGTCCATGGAGTGTTTAACCCATGGATCATATGAAATGAAAGTTCATGGGTTTAACCCTAGTCTCCATACTATATAAAGATGTCATTGGTTGGTGAAATTAGCACTAGTGTGGGTACACTAAGAAGGGCTAACCGATTTCACTAGAGAGAACCAAGTATCTATATTCTCTAAAGTCTTTCAAGGTGTTTTGGTGATTTGTGATTCCACTTGAGGCTTCCACACTATTGGGGCTAAGCTCTTAAAGCTTGAAGACATCAAGCTACATCAAAAGGTATGTCATCTAACTAGTAATGTGTAGTATAAAAGCTTCATAATATGCTAGTTAGGATTTAAGCCTTGGAAAGTTCTTATTTGCATGTATAATAGAGAAAACATAGATCCAAGGTTTATAGGGTTGCATGTACACCATAAGAGTGTTAGAATACTCAAAACCCATCAAGATCATCTTCATCTGGAGCTATTTCGAATATGTCCTTTTTTATGACAACTAAATAATCATCATCATAATGAAATTGAGCTTTAATCTCATCTTGCTGCACACCAATACCTTTACCAAGCTCTTCTTCAAGAACTTCATCAGAATTATCTTCTAATTCACTTTCTTGGTCACTAGTCTCATAATTAACATCTAGGTTACATTCTTGAACAACATCTGGCAATTCTATAAATTCTCATGCTACACATTCACCTTACTTTACATACATTTGACCTTTAAAAAAATAAATCCTCATCATCACTACTTCCATGTATTTTAGGTTCCAAATGATTTTCAATATAATTTGAATTATCCATTTCCTATAAATATGCCTCATACTCATCTTCCAAGTCCTCTCTAGAGTTTATGCCATCATGTATATCAGTTTGCATATTTCCTATATTTGGCTCATCTTGTAACTCATATACATGGTCAATGACAATGTTAATGAGAGGGTAAATTATTTGGCTTTATGTGACTTGAGTAAATAGAACAAGATGCAAGTTTACATCTACTTACGATTCAAGACCAATTGTTAAATTCATCATGTCTATATTCTTATTACAAATCCTTTCACGTTTTCTCTTGGTAAGTATTCCATATAAACCCTCCTCAACAATATTCTCAATAATTAAATTATTAAGGAACATGAAGAAAGTGTGCCTAGTGGTCCTATCATGTTCAATATAAATACTCATCTATTTATTGTTAAAAATGAAGTTTGACATTACTATGACATATTGATCATTACCTAAAGCTTGCAACCCGAAATCTAAATTTGACCCAAGGGTCAAATAGTAGTAATAAACGACTTCTCCTTTTAGAAAAGTATACCCTAGTTATTTAATCATAGAATTCAATTTATAGACTAAAAACTCTTCAATGTCGACATAGTCAAAAGAAGCTATTTTGCCCTTCACGTACTTGCATCATGGTGGGTGAGTGAGCTCACCCCATGGTGGATCTTCATTGTGATATTAAAAAATCCACTTATATTTTTTAAGTGAAAAGGATTAAAACAACATCCTCATGCTTTCAACATGTATAGATATGAGGGAAAAGTAAAAACGGCGACTTACTATAAACTTCTTTCAAGTCAAAATCTGAGGATGATCCACCGTGTAGACTCCACATTTTTGGAAGCATTTAAGTTCGATAATCGAAAATTAGGGTTTTGCTACCATGTAATGAAGATTGAGGAAAATGAGAGGGTTTTCAACTCATGGTTCTTGCATGGGGGAAGGTGAATAAAAAAGAAGAAATAACTTTCTTGGTAAACACAAACGTGAAGGATGACTAGTGATATGACACGCTGTAATTAAGTTAAGTAAATGGCATCAAATGAATGAGCTACGTAAAAAGATGCTATTACCCTCACATGTTATGCACGCAAGGGACATTAAGCAAGAATTGATTGATGTTGTCTATATGAGGTACCATTTATATAATATAGACATAATATGAGGACCGACTTTGTCCATTTTCTTAAAATTGAGTTTCGTGTGTCTATTTCACGATCCCACGAGGATCATTTATGTAACTTTGTCTAGTTTTTCCAACTTTTGCATTGTCTCATATACATTAACAAACCAAATTTTCTCGATGATTTTATGGCACTTGACTTTGATGAAATAACAAAGATGATTTAAAATAAAAGGAAATAATAAAACGAGTTAAATATTGGGTTATTTTATAAAGGAAAATCTCCAGAAAACTCACTATTTAGGACCAGTTTACAAAATAGCTACAAATTAATTTTCTTTTACAAAAGTCCTAAAAACTGGTAAAATGTTACATTTTGACAATTTTTTCTAGTTTAGCCGGTAACAAATTAGTTTGGGACTATTTCGTAAACGGATCCAAAATATTGAGACTATTTCGTAAACTAACACGAAATATTGAGATTTTTTTTGCAAAAACCTTTATTATTATTATTATTATTATTATTATTATTATTATTATTATTATATTAAAAATGCAAATAAATATATTATTTTTTTAAATTCGTTATTATTAATATTATTTAATAAATACATGTATAAATACATTTTAAATACATATAAAAAAAATACTATATATAAAAGATATGTATAAATATAATAAATATATATGAAAAACATTTGTATATATTTTTACATCTTAATAAATGTTTTCAAAGTTCTATTTCATTTAAACGTATTATTAAATACATCTAAAAAATATCTATATCAAAAAAGAACTTAAAAAAATTAATTTTTTTATTTTTTTTATTTTTTTTATTTAAATGTACTTATAAGTTGCGGAGAAAGAACTGGATAATGATTACTGATAGAGCATAATGATTACTGATAGAGCATATGTAGAATAAAAGTTTTTAGTAGATCTTAAACATCTCTAAGATGCAGAATGAAGAACATTCCAACAAAATAATAAGAACAACAATTACATCATAAACATAAAGTAAATAATAAACATGTAACATCCCAAAATTTTCAACAAATTTTAATCTTTCAAAACAACCCATTCACTAAAGAGGTATTTATCAAAACCATCATTTCTAAAACATTATTTAAAATTAGAATCGTTTAAAACATAGTTTTCAAAACATTTTCATTATCAGAGTTTCCTAGAAATCATATGTTCCAAAAACACAATGATGCCTTAAAAACTTGGCAAATAAAATGGTGAGAACTTGATACCTTAAAAACTTGGCAAATAAAATGGTGGTTCTAGATTTAAGGCCTCTTCTCCAAGCCAAGCAACTCCTAGCTTCTATAGCTCCTTCAAAATGCACCAAAAAATGAACACCCAAGGTTCTCCACAAGCTCACACACTCAAGAAAAGAAGGTGATACTTGATTTTTGAGTTTCTGGATAGAGAAGGCTGGTAAGGAGGCTAACCAAGGGACTTAAGGACTTTAAAGAGGGTGCAACACCCTAAAAGTTAGGGTTTCCTTCCCAGCTGCCAACACGCCGTGTTGAGACATCTCGACACGTCGTGTTTGTTCATTTATCGCCGCGGCCAAAGTCATCTCGACAGTTCATGTTGAGGCTTCCAACACGTCGTGTCTCCAAAAAAATATAAACAATTGGAAAATAGGTTCATGCCGGAAACCAAGCATTACAAAACAACTTTGTTGTATCTTAACAAAGCTTGCTTGCAAGACTTGAAGTTAATGATTGATGAACAACATAAGTGTGAAGAAGACAATTTCTATTATTGATAATATGAAGGGTACAAGACATAGTTTTGAACAACTCCTAACCCTTCTGTTTATAGATTAGAAAGGTACAACATCACATCATGCTTAAGTATGGTGGACAGACGATCATGCTCAACATGTCTAACATACACGATCTATACAAAAGATTTGATCAGATAAAGTAACCAAAAATACATCTATTTAGTATAAATATTTTTTATATATGTATTTAATAATACATATAAATACGTTTAAATGAAAAAAAATACTTTGAAACGTTTCTTATGGTGTAAAAATATATAAAAGAGTTTTTCATATATATATATATATATATATATATATATATATATATATATATATATATATATATATATATATATATATATATATATATATATATATATAGAGAGAGAGAGAGAGAAAGAGAGGGAGAGAGAGATATGTATTTAGTATTTATACATATATTCATTTAATAATATTAATAATAACGAATTTAAAAAATAATATATTTATTTGTGTTTTTAATAAAATAATAAAAATAAAAATAAAAATTATTTTTTTTATAAAAAAGTTCTAATATTTCGGTTCAGTTTATGAAAAAATTCGAATATTTTGGATCAGTTTACAAAATAGTTCCAAATTAATATGTAACCGGTTGAACCAGGAAAAAAACTTTTTCAGTTTATGAAAAATCCTAACATTTTACCGAATTTTTTTATAAAAGAAAATTAATTGAAATTATTTTTCGTAAACAGATCTAAAATATTGAGATTTTTATGAAAAATTTTCTTTTATCAAATTCAAATGCCATACATTCGTCGAGAAAAATTGGTTTGTTGACGTATATGTGGTCATGAAAAAGTTGAAAAAAAATTAACAAAAATATTGTAAAATATTTTTTTCATTTAAAAGTTGAAAAAAGTTTACAAAAAACTCTTATAATTATAAATAAAAAAGTCTAAAAAAGATTGTAAGTAATAAATCTGTAAAAAAACCTTAAATTTAGCATGAATTTATAATAAAATTTTGCATTCGAACAAGATATTTAATAAAATTTAAAATCTAGCTCCAAAATATAAAATTTTAAAAAAAAATGATCTATTAACTAAAATAGCATGTAACCATAGATAAAACATAAATCGATTATCTTTTAAAATATAATACCGATTGAAATTTTTTAAAAAGCTAGTTTCCATATATATTAGTTTTTTGTTAATTATAAAAAATTAACTAATTGTTGAAAAAAAGGAAAAAGACGAGGATGAACATATTGAGTTGGATCATCGTCACCTTCACGTGGACGAATTGGTTGTTCTTTGGCCCCACCTCAAACAAAAGTGTACTACCTTTCTTTAAAAAATGAAATGATTTTTTGATAATTATAGTAATTATAGTTATATAACTAAATATCTCTATTGTTATGTTTTTTAAAAAAAACATTCAATTGAAATTTTTTGTATTAATAAAATAACTAAGAACAAGTTTGTATTATAGTTAATTATATTTATATATCATTAATTTAATCATTATAACTATTACCCCAACAATGAAATTAATAAACATCTGTAAATTAAAAGAATATGTTGTATTTTCTTATGTTTAACTCCGAACAAATAAATAAATAAAAAGTTACCTTTTTATCAAAGAAATGACCCACCATATCTCGAGTCACATGTCTTATCCATTTTTTTTGTTTTGGATAATATTGCCATATCCCCTACCAAATATTACGACTATAAATACCTTCACATATAAACACTTTAAAATTCACAATCATCTATTCATTTCATACAAAAATCTACATCTCTTTCGTTTATTATCAAGAAAAACATGTTGGCCAATTTCAAGAAAAGTTTGGTGAGTGCACCAAAAGAACTCAATAGTCCATCACATGATCAACAACGCAAATATCATCATCAAAATCAAGATCCTACGAACCATTTCTTGAATTCCAATCCCAATTCTCTCTCATTTTCTTTTGGAAATGATGCTTCTTTGGCGTTTGATCCTTCTTCCCAACAAAGGTAACCTTTTCATCGTTACATTTATCTGTAATAAAGTTGTACCCTTTTTTTATTCAAATTATGTAAAACTTGGTTTATATACTAAATATACACAAAGCCATTTATTTAAAGACAAAAGGTAACATTTTATTTGTAATTCGTTGTAATTCATGTATAATTCGTATGAGTTATATAACTTAGTCAAAAAGTGAAATATTGTTGTATAAACTCCTTAAGTATCCATATAAATTGATAAAAATAAAACAAAACATTTTTGAATTGCATAGATAAGCATTCAACCTGTTACCACAGTTTCTTGTAATGACTATTTTGTTACAAAGATTTGCAAAAAATGAAAAGTTGTTGCTTAGATACGCATGCATTAACCCTTTATTTTCTACACGACACAACAAAAAAGAAATCTTTCTAGTGTTATAGAACGACTTTTTTTTCGATTGTGACATTAGTGAAATGTATTTGCAGGTTGTTTAGTAGCATGGATGACATCTATTGCATGTTTTTGGGAGGTCTAGACAACTTGTGCACTCTTAACAAGCAATATGGGCTAACAAAGCTGGCCAATGAGCCCATGTTTGTGATCCAAGCTTACAAAACTCTTCGTGATCGTGGCCCATACCCGGCCCACTCAGTCCTCAGGGAGATGGAGGGTAGTTTTGGGTTTATACTCTATGATCTCAAGGCTAAAACTGTCTTTGTCTCACTTGTAAGTGTCCTTTCAATACTTATATAGTTATACTCTCTCATGTATCATGTTATTTACAATAATAAAGAGGGCATGTTCGACATTTTACTTAATATGGCAAATTGGTGGTGATGAATAGGGTGCCGATGGAGGAGTGAAGCTTTTTTGGGGCATAGCGGCTGATGGCTCCGTTGTAATTTCTGACAACTTGATGGTCATAAAGTCTAGCTGCTCCAAGTCATTTGCT